TGGGATTTTTACCCTTCGCGAACGCGGTCAGTGCCTCACGTTCGCGAAGCACATTTTTGTGCTTCCAAAACTTTGCTCTTCGCGAATGCGAAGGCAATGTCGCGAACGCGAAGTCTTGCCAAATTTACCCTTCGCGAACGCGATACACCCTACGCGAACGCGAAGCTTTAACGCTTGGTGCCCGGCCAGGCCTCGCCTTCTACGCGAACGCGAACGCTTCCACGCGTTCGCGATGAACACTGCCCTCTTCCCTTCGCGAACGCGAAGAGTAAATTTCACCTGCCTCCAGTTTCTTCTTCGCGAACGCGAGCCACCTCTCGCGAACGCGAAGAAGGATACCAGAAGCAGATTTCTGCAGTTTTTTCCAAGTCCAAAAATGGTCCGTTAATCACCCGAAATCAACCCGAGCCCTCGGGGCTCCAAACTAAATATCCACCCAAGTCCTAAAATATCATACGAACTTGCTCGCACGATCAAATCGCCAAAATAACACCTAGAACTACGAATTGGACACTAAATCAAAGGAAGTTTTCAAAAAAACTTTAAAACTTATATTTTTACAACCGGACGTCCGAATCACGTCAAATCAACTCTGATTCTCACCAAATTTGACAGACAAGTCATAAATATTATATTGGACCTATACCGGGCTCCGAAACCAAAATACTGACCCGAGGTCAATAAATTCAACATCAATAATTTCTTAAAACTCATTAAGCTTTCAAGCTTTTAATTTTTCATCAAAATTCCAAATCTCGAGCTAGGGACCTCGGAATTCGATTTCGGGGATACACCCAAGTCCCAAATCACATTACGGACCTATCAGAATTGTCAAAATACTGATCCGGGTCCATTTTCTCAAAATGTTGACTAAAGTCAACTTAGTTAAGTTTTAAAGCTCTATTTCACATTTAATCCATTTTTCACGTAAAAACTTTTCGAAAAATTGTACGGACTGTGCACGCAGGTCGAGGAATGATAAATGATGCTTTTCGAGGTCTTAGAACACAGAATTACTTATTAAATTTAAAGATGATATTTTGGGTCATCACATAATCATTCATCATCATTTATCAATTGATGAGATTTCTGCCATTGACCAATTATTTGTTTGGTTGGAGTTACGTTCTTATTATTAAAATAAATCTTTCATAACATTAACAAACTCACCATCTTTCTACCTATTTAAAGGCTCTTGATTACTAATAAATATTTTATCCGTCTCAAATTATTTGTCGTATTTCTATTTGATATGCCCTTAAAAAAATTAGTTAGAAAGAATTTGATTATTTTACCCTTATTTATGTCTTTAATATAATCTTTGTTCATTGAACATTTACTTTATTTATGTGCCATCTCCATCTTCAAGAATAATTACTACTAAAGATAAAATGAAAAAAAATTAATTAATTTTGTCTTGAACTTCTAAAATGACAAATAATTTGAATTATCTATTTTTAGAAATTACGATAAATAATTTGAGACGGAAGAAGCAGAAATTAATTCCCTTATATTAGTCATATATTGGCTTATTTTAACTCTAATTCCTTGTCTAGTTTTACTTTTAGAATAATTAATAGTACTGGACCAAAAAAAATGGACGAATCAATACTTTAAATTAAAAAGTAGTATGTCTTGAACCCAAATCTAACGCTTAGTGGTGAGATGTTTAAACTTTAAAATTTGAATTCCTAAAATGAGTTTTAACGTAAAAAAAATAATTCTTATATTTGATTCCTAAATATTAGGATTTTGAATTATAAAAGGAAAATTCTAGTTTATTTAAATGTCCTAAATATTGGAATTTTCTACTATAATAAATAAAGTTTTAGTTGATTTCAAAATCTTAGATATTAGAAAATTAATAAAATGACTATTTTATTCAATGTGAGCTTTATTTTTAAAGGGTAAAAAAGGAGAACGACATTTCGCTAAGGACCTTCATGCTTTTAATATAGTATAGATATGCAATGTTATATAATAACAATCAACTAATTTAATATTTAATAATTCAAAGAACAATTTTTTTTGTATATATAGGGTATTAAAAATTCAAAGTCTGTGGCTCGAGATATCGATAAACTTAAAATGGAGTCATACTGAAATAAAGTTTTTTCGGCTAAATAATCATTTAAATTTTTAGATAGCCGATTAAAGTAAATTTTAAATTAAGGATAATATCTTCACTTGCATCATTATAAAGACAATCATTATTGAAATATATATAAAGTTTTAGAAATTGAAATTTCAAAATAGAAATATTTTTTAAAAGATAATATCATACCAAATAAGAGTTCAAGTCGTAGTAAAAGAGTCATGTCGTAACCAAAGAATCATTTGCTTTGCCATAAATATGAGTTATTATTTCGCTTTGTGGCTATTTTTAGGTTCCAATGACACCAATGAGAATAGTGCAAAAATAAAATTATCACTACTAGATTTGAGAAAATGTTAATCTTTTTTTATGTAGTGTTTCTTAATTAATATCTAACGATTATCTATAATTATTTCGAAGGCTTAAATTTTAAGGTTATTTACATATAATTCAAATAACTCGGAAATTTAACATGTTTAATGTCAAGTATCAAAATAGAGTCATACTGGAAAAACAATTCACTAGCTAAAGAATTTTTTAAATTTGTAGATAGCCAACTAAAATGAGTTTTGAATTAAGGACAATATTTTCACTTATATTATTATAAAAATAATTATTATTGAAAAATAAAATTTTAGAAACTAAGATTTTAAAAAAGAAATATTTTTAAGAGATATCAACACACAAAATAAGAGTTTAAGTAGTAGTAAAAGAGTCAAGTCATATCCAAAGAGTCATTCATAGTCTCAATATTTGATTGTTTTGCCATAAATATAAGTTATTATTTTGCTTCTTAAATATTTTTAGGATCCAATGACACCGACGAAAATGGTATCAAAAAAGAAAAATAGAAGAAATGGTTAATTTTTTCCATGTAGTGTTTATTATTAATATCCAATGATTATCTATATTTACTGAGAAAGTTTAAATTTTAAGATTATTTACATATAATCCAAATAACTTAAATATTTGACATGATTAATGTCCGCACATCCGCGCGGGTGCTAATAATAGTTAACTTATAAAGGATAAACTTTTCTTTTTTTAGGTTAAAAAATATTTTGTTACACTTAAATGTCCAATAAGGGAGACGTGCAAGCCAAAATCTCACCGAAAGGTTTGTGAAATTATCCTTTTTAAATTGGGTCGAAGGAAAGAATATAGTTATTAAAGCAGAAAAGAACGGAGGCTGATGTGTGGAAAGCTTCTATTTTTTGTCTCCCCAAATTTGATTGTAGAACATAGAATTGTGAGATTATTTCCCCGCGTAGAATGAATAATTTCTCCTTTTATATTTTTGGAAAATTTCTATATTTCTATGTCGAGACCTTTTCCCGTTGAGCAAAAAAACAAATCTATTTCCTGAACGGAGAAGGTTAGAACTTAGAAGCTTGCAATCCTTTATTCAACAGGAGAAGGAAACACAGACAACTATTTATATTGCACTGGACAACAAACAAACACACACACACACACACTTTTGCAAACACAAATCAACACGATACTCCACCAAAAACTGGAGAATGAAAAATCAAAGACTCAGCCGGCCTCAAAACCGGCAAGTTTCGCCAATAGGCGGCGACGCCTCTGCTGCTATGCAGGAGAAACAGGGTTCTATACAAATTCCAAAGAAGAAACTCTATTCTTATTTACAAGAATTATACAAAAAGAAAAGTTCCAGGAGAGAAAACGCGCTAAGGACATTGGTAGAGGAATTCGAGACCAATGTTCGTTATGAATTTGCCAAGAATAATTTTTTCACTTTAGTACATCGATGCCAAAATTGTTTGAAACGGAGTTCTGCACTGGAGGTAGATCTAGCATTACAACTTATAGGATTAGTTGTACTGACTCTAGGTGCAGGAGATAATGCACATGAGATTTATGAAGAATCACTAGTCTTTCTTCCTAAACTCCTCAATTCCAAATTATCTCACTCGGTCGAAGTGTTAGAGTGTTTGTCTATTGTCACTCTTGTTGCTGCAAGAGATTTTGTAGACACAGAAAGAACAATGGAAATTATATGGCAATTCATGAATCAAGAAACCAAACATTCATCGTACGTGACTGCTGCAGCAATATCAGCTTGGGCTCTGCTCCTTTCGGATATAAATATATGTAGAATTGGTCACAAAAAGTGGAAAGAATTGATCCCTTATCTTCTAAAACAACTAGAGGAAGGTGATGAAGATGTTACTGCTGCTAGCATCGACGCGCTTGCTTTAATTTTTGAAAAAGGTAATCTTGAGAAATTCTCAATTCAAACACAAGAATATTCAAGCAAAAGGACATGAAAAATGACATTATGAAGCATGTAAAGAGAGCAAAACAAGATGCTTCGAAAATTCTGGAGGATGATTACAATAAAACAGCTACTATTACTTTATGTGGTACGAGACTTACCTTTAGCACCTGGTCACAATTGAAGCAGATGAATTACATAACAAGATTTTTAGGCTACGGTTTTACAAATCACATGATGGAGAACAAGCACCTTCACGAAGTCTTTCACTTTGTACCTGCAGAAACGAGATATAGTAATGCCTTAGAACTATATAAATCTGAATATGAAGAGGGAGCTGTTCGGATTTTCTTACCTGAAGTAAGAAGAAAATGTTGCAGAAAGAGGATTTATATGTCCCCTAATTCTCTGCTGAACAAGGGAAAGACTAAGTTGATGAACAAGTACAGGAGTATTGCAAAGGAGACCAAGGCTGGGCATTACCATGCTGAGGAAGAGCTCGACTGAAATATTGTTTCTAATTGTTATCTTATTTACTTTTTTCAGTTGTCTTAAATATTGACCACTTTTGATATGTTCTCAACGAGTTCTACCTTAATCAACTTATATTATCAACTCTTCTATCAGTAACCGTATGAAGTAAAAGCTGACAAATAACTTGAGACGTTAGGAAAATATGCCTAATCATAGCAATTCTTATAACCTTATTCCAAGACCTTGTAATATTGCCTTCTCAGAGACAAATGTAAACACTTACACGTAAGGCTGTTCAACGGGAGGATGCCTTAAAGGTAAATAAGAAAGATCCTAAATAAAAAAGAAAATACCTACCTTTCTAATGAGATGTGATTTGTCTATTTCATTTCGCAACGGAAACTATTCTAGGAGAAGTTCGAATCCGTTCCGTTCGGATACTGATTGGTCTTGGTTTGATATGGTTTACGCGTTACTGATTCCCGGAAGATTTAAGATCTCCATTAGCTAAACCCTTTCTTATCCTGCCTTTGGATTCGTATTTGCCGTGATATTACTTCCCCCTATTCGACGATTCACTCTTCCTGGACTTGCTTGACTCGTCCGAAAAAAGAGGGAAAGTGCTCTAAGACCTCTAATGCAGCTAGGGGAGTTTAAGGACAAACCAAATAAATGGGATGGGACGGGACGACATTTAGCCGGAACGGTGGCAAGACGGGGGATAAACGGAACGAAACGGTAGGCCCATCCCATCCCGCTAACAAACGTGATGGGACGGGACGGTTTCACGGGCCTTAAGTGAGCTGTTTTTCTTTTAAAAAAAATAATTATTTAAGCATTAAGTTTGGCAACGACTAGTTTTTTGACAATGACTAAGTATTTAATGTTTGCTACGGCTAGTTTTTTGACTTATTTAATAAACTTAAAACTTAAAAAATTATAAAAAAATTAGGAAACTAAGTAAAGATTTATAAAATATTAAAACAAAAGACTTGTAATGAAATATTTTAGTAATTATAATAAAGTTATAATTTATTTAATATAATTTCAAGCCATTAAGTAACTAAGTAAGAGTGTAAGACAATTCATAAAACAATTCAAGGCTTAGAGCCTTTTATTTTATTAATAGAACTTTCAAATTTCATATACAAATATAATTCTTTTGAATATCACCTAATTTACGCAGCCACCTTCTAGGAAGGGTTCGGTTTGAACTATGCCTCTTAGTAGCGAATTATAAATTATCATACTAATAGTTGTAAGCTCTTATATAGCTTCGTTGTAACTTATCTATAATTTCTCTCGGACATTGTTCTGGAATTGGCAATGTTGATTGATGTTTCATGAATTCCATGCCGTCATCGCTCCCAGTGCTAAATATCTCATTGTATTCTTCTTCTTCCTAGTGGTTAATTTTTCAAAATCAAGATTTCTTCTTTCTGAATTAATCCAATCTCTGAATAATACGGAAATCTTTAGGCTGTCCTCCACTAATGAATGTCTATGATCTCCGATTTGAAATCTTGCCGCATTAAAAACACTCTCTGATGCTACTGATGATTCTTGAATAGTCAGGATATCTCGGGTCATTATTGAAAGTATCGAAAAAGCCTTGTCACACTCCCTCCACCATACCAAAAGTTGTTCGTTGCCTTCTTTGTCTTTAATACTTTCCAATCCTTGATTAAGATAAGAATCACTACTAGAAAATGGCAAATTTCCGACCGTCAAATCGGTCGGAAATCGAGCTTTTTGACGGATTACCGACCGAAAAAGGTCGGTCGGAAAACACACGCTCGCAAATTTATTTGCAACCGAATCGGTCGGAAATTTCCGACGGATTTGGTCGCAAAATGAAAAATAGGACGCGCTTAAATATAAGAGATTTGCGACTGAATTGGTTGGTAAATTTCCGACTGATTCGGTCGCAAATTTAAATAATAAAATAAATACATAATTTAAATTTCCAACAGAATTGGTCGTAAAATTTGAGAATAAATAAATTTTAAAAAATAAAAAAATTATAATTTGCAACCGAATCGGTCGCAAATCCGGGAAATTTTGCGACTGATTAAGTCACAAATCCGCTCCAGATCTCAAAATTTTTTTGCAGAATTCTCCTGTATTTTTAACTATACCATATGTCAAATAAAACAGCCAACAATCTCAAACCTAGATTCAATCAAATTCTTCGACAACAATCTAAAACCTAGAGTCAACTACCAAATTAATATGAAAAGTGTAATAAAAGCATAATAAGAATAACAATTAGTTGCACAAAAAAATCAAAAGGTGCATACTAATTTACTCTCTTATTTCTTAGTAAATAATCCAAAACTTGTTCCACTATTAATTCTTTGTGGCTTTTCGAGTTTTGATAACAAAGATACCGTGAAAAAGCGAAAATTACAAACACTAATTTAAGCAAACAGTGTGTTTTTCTCTGTGAAGGTTAGCAAAAAATGGAAACAAAGAAGAAAAAATAACTGACCGCGAGAGGGGAGAGAGAGAGAGGTGTCGCCGGAGAAAGAGGGCTGTCATCGGAGCACCTTGATGCCCGGGGGAGGGGGTTTCCAGCGAGGAGAGAAAGAAAAGAGAGAAGGAAGAAAAGAGATAAAGAAAAAAGAAAGGGAAAGGGACCGGGGGGGGGGGGGTTTAAAAACTATTTAAGACTAAATCGGTCGAAAATTTAAAAAAATAAAAAACAATTCGACTAATTTGGTCGCAAATGAGGTCAACAAAGTCAGACCTCGTTTTAATAAATTTTTGCGACCGAATCGGTCACAAGTTTTTATTTTTTCATTTTTCCCACCGAATCGATCGCAACTTTTTAATTTTTAAAATTTTTAAAATTTTTTCGACTGAATCGGTTGCAAACGAAGCCAACGAAGTCAGACCTCGTTTTAATAAATTTTTGCTAACCGAATCGGTCGCAATATTTTTTTATTATTTTATTTTATTTTTAATTTTACCGACTGAATCGGTCACAAATGCTTTCGCGATATTTTCCTCCAAAATTTGCAACGGATGTAGACGGAATATCCGCAGTAAACATTAATAAAAAGTTAAAAAAAAATATTTTTATGCCATTTCCAACAGATTCCGTCGGAAATTTCCGACTACTTTTTTCGGTCAGAATATTTCGGTTGGAAATGGGCCGTTTTTTAGTAGTGAATCAAGTTCATCATCAATAGATGAATCAAAACCTATTATATCATCCATACCTTCCCATAGAACTTCTACTCTAGCCTTAGAAGTAGAAGGAGCAGTTTTACCACTTGTTGTTTCCATACCTTCCCTTGGAGGCAGCCTTGAACTCCAAAAGTGAAGAGCTTGCTGCTGTGGAGGCGAAAAATGCCTAGCTAGAATAGAAGTACAGGAAAACTATCGAGCATAATAGGCTCTTTAGTTCAACTGTTCGCGAGCTTGACGTCAGCCTCAAATCTGCTAGATCCGCCCGAGAGCAGTTTCACCACCTGTTCTTCATACTCAATAAAAATATCATTGCCAAATTGTCTTTGTAAAATTTCATGATCTAGTTGTTCTCCGAAATTAATATTATAACATGCAGGGAGTTGGAAAAATGAAGTTTCATCAACATGAGTCATTTCATCTATATGTTTTCTAATTCTAGGAGAAGAATTAGGATTAGAACTAGGGTTATGATTACTACTACAATCACCTTTACTATTTTTTTTAAATAGGACAAATACATTTTTAGATGTCATAATTTAAATACGAAATTAAATTTAAAAAGTTAACACAAATTAAACACACAAATGAAATACGAAAATAGAACACGTAAAGTAAACACAAAAATTAAGCACTAAAATGATACGCAAATATTAGGAGATGGAACGAGTGCACCATGATTAAATATTGAAACTTGAAGAAATTGCCCAAAAGATTGCTCCAAATACTTGACGAATTAATTTGAAGTTTGAAAGTTGCTCCAAATATTTGCCCAAATACTTGAAACTTAGTTGATTGTGAGAAAATTGAGAGAATAATATAAATAGAATGTAAGAGATTTGAGAGACAATGATTGATTTTTGTGGGAAAAAATAAAGAAGGATGAGGTATTTATAGTTTAAAATAGGGCCAAAGTATAATTTAATAAACTTAGGAATTATATTAAAAGTTTGGAGGTGGGGGAGGGNTGGGCCCATCCCGTTTAGATTTAAGTGGGCCGGGACGGGACGGCCCGTCCCGTTGGACAGCCTTACTTACACGTGCAAAAAAGAATAACACAATTATCATTAGTCTTTCCTCCACATCAAATCCCAAATGTTACATTTGCTAAATAAATGCCTCTAAAATGGTTATGTCCTAGAACTTGATTTCCAGCTCCTCGAACACACAAACCACACTGGCTCTCTTCTGTTAATGGTTTCGTGGCTGGATTCTGCGCATGGGGGTTGCACCTTTTTGAATACACATACCATAAAAGTCATTCCACCAGGCTCCCTTAGGGACCTCTTCTAATGGAAAATAAGGAGATTTTAGGGAAGCACCTCTCCCCTTCAAGTTTAGAATGCTCCCAAGGACTCTGCAAGTTAAAATCAGAAGACCAGGGAAAGAAAAGAGTAAAGCCACCTGCCTCCATCTGCAGCTTGAACGGTGACCAATGACAATCCTCTCAGTCTGAATCTTTCCATTTTGATGCAAAATATGCACAAGTTGTTCGCGACCATGACACTTGTGAGCCAGCTGCCTTGCCATGAAAGGAGATGCCCATTAGGAAGAGAGCGAGTTGAGATATGGAATTATAGTAGAGCTTAGTAAGAGGATCAGCCGACTAAAGCACATGCTTTCCAGCAGCTATGAAGACATGATTAAATGGCCAAAACATTGTAGAGTACATGAGACCGAGTAGCAGGAGGGAATTGCATCACAAGTTCAAAGTGAGCTACATTCCCTCGAGGGAATGAAATCACTGCTCCTTCTGATTTCAATAGTAAGTACAGTGATGAGAGTTAAAACGACCATAATTGACTCCAACAAGAGAGAATGGCTTCCATTAATAACAGGTTCATTCCACAAGAGAAGACAATCAGGATGTATAAGTACTATTACAAGATAATCGAGCCAAAACATAGAGCCCGGTAGAACTGAACAAGATGAAGAAATAATGAGTACTAGATTACTTTCTAGGCACATAATCAGCTCTTATTGAAAGACCAGATTCACATGACATGTGGAATGAAATAGATATCATATTAGAAATCAGGTTAGTTTAGGATTGAAGTGACCTCACCATTGAGAAACCAAGTTTGATCTTTGGATTGGAACGGTTTTTACAGGATGATTAGCCGAACAATCTGACCCATAAACCGGAATGCCTTGGTTACTTCTCTCAGACACTTATTCTTGGTATCTCTAGACCAATGCTGCAATAAAGATGCAATTGATAGGAGAAGCAGTGAATGGTGATTTGAAGCACTGAAACAAAGTCCATGACGCAAAATTCTTAGGCATTTACCTTTGCCAGCATGTTGAATTTTTCACGCACACCTCGCAACAACTCTTCTGCATCCCCCTCCCACTTGTGGAATTCCAACTCTTTTTCCTCTAAGAGTTTCTCAAAGGCCTAATAACATTAATTCAGTAATATAGATAACCAAATATCTAAAATACTGAGTTAGAGGAGTTAACTTGCATATTGGAAATCTTAGAGCCAACATAAATTGACAAAATGCAGGCAAATGGTAATTCAAAGTAACTCATTAAGCAAATTAGTAAAACAAAAGTGCAATAAACTTCAGTATAATAAAGGCCAACCCCGGCAATTAGAAAACTTTATCTTCAATGGAAAGTGGTCAATCATCACAGAACAAGCAAAAACTTACCAAAAACAATACGGAAAAGGGCCAACAATACCCCTAACGTAGTGAAAATGGCTCAAAAGTACCCTCCGTTAACCTTTTGGTCCACAAATGCCCCTAACATTTGTTTTTGGGCTCAAACTTACCCCTATATCTAACCGAACTAACCTGGTCAATTTTTTGACTTTTAACTTCGGCATGTGGCATTTTCTTAACCCGCTACGGGTATTATTTGTATTAAATAAAACCCACCTGTATATTTTAAAATACCCAACGACCCTGACCCGCTCCTATATATTTGGACGGTCGGCTAAAAATAATTATATTCACTAGTTAAATATATAAAAAAATATACACTGATTATATATAAAAATATGTATATTATACATTAATATTTTAATATATATTTTACATGACATTATTTTTAGGAGAAATTATACGGTGTAGTTTTCCCTATTAATTATGATCTATAACTCGAATTTATTAAGCAAATCTGACAATCGAACGGTAGTTTTTGTTAATATTTTAGCTCTATCGTTATATATTAAAACACTATTAGTTCCCATTGAAAAGATCAAGTGAAGTCCATTAATGTGTTAAGCATTTGGATATGTATATAATTAATGGTTTTAAAGAATTTCCTTTCCATCTGTTTCTTTGCTTCTCCTTTAGAAGGTCATATAAATAGAACATTATCATTTTTA